GTGCCCACAAACCTCCATGAACTGAAGCAATGCTGTAAAGAAGAGTGGGCCAAAATTCCTCCACAATGATGTGAGAGACTGATAAAAGTCATACAGAAAACGATTACTTCAAGTTATTTCCGCTAAAGGTGGTTCTACAAGCTATTGAATCATAAGGTGTACTTACGTTTTTCACACATGGCTTCTCCATTTTAGCTTTATTTTTGTAAAATAAATGATGAGATGGTGTAATATGTCATGTGTTGTTGTTTATCTAAGCTTGTATTTACCTACTTTTGAGAACTGCTAAGGACCAGATGTTTATCATGTTCTGATACGTAAAACCATAGAACTCAAAGAGGGTGTACTTTCTTTTTCACACGAATGTATAGCCTAGTCATTTTGCGTATCAAAAGAACATTTCTGGCATTTTCAACAATGGAGGGCCACTTCCATTCATTTGGACAAAAACTTTATTAGTATCAACTAAAATATTAGAAGTGACTGTGCAATCTTTTAGTTCTTCAGAACCCTTAATAGACAGTATAGAGGTAGATGAACCAATGATCTCACTTGTGTGATTTTGTACCTCCTAGTATACTTTTATAACAGAAATGTCTTATCAAAATCCAGCTAAGCCCTGTTTTAAAACTTCAAGTTGATTGGTGCTTGAGAAAGTTCAATTCTTTCAGATGGCCTTCTTCAAATGGGCATTCCCTCAGAGTTTTGGGAACTGCAGTTCCCAGAATTATGGATATTTTTGTATTGTCATCCCAGAATTTGGTCCTCCTGCCTAGGCATTCTATAGTTGCAGTCACAACAGAACAGGAAAATTCCAGATTGGAGAAGGCTGCTTTATGGTATTGCATGAATTACTGTGTAAGTATCATCAGAATTTCAAAATTTATACAGCAGTCTTATTCTCTTGTTCGGAATTTAGACTAATGGTACATGTCCGATGCCTGAGGGAAGGGTATGTTTTTCTACTACGTTTTATGGATTGTTGTGAGCTGCCCAGAGTCATTGTATGAGATAGGCGGCCATATAGGTCCTGTCAATAAATAAATATTTTCTGAGTAAACAGGAATAAACTCAAGATGTTAAGAGCCACACTGAAGCATTATTACCTTTATGAAACCAGAGGTGGTGGTTTTGCATTTCAAGTTTATATATAATTTCTTTTGTTATAAAAGGAAAATCTGCAGCCAAGTTAAAATATACTAGTTCTGTTTCAAGTTGGGAATTGAATTACCATCAGCTAGGAAATATAAACGCAATGGGATTGCAGGCTCTGTGTAACACTTTTGAATTTCTTGGCTCATTGGTTGGAACCTGTAATACCCTTGATAATACCGGCAGGAGTGGATGCTTTATAACATTGGACAGCTGGAATGAGAGAAGACCAGTCACAAATTAAATTAAGAGGTGTAAAATGTGGTGAGAATAAAAACAAATTGAGATCGTGAAAACAGGTGCCAACTGACATTTACCCCATATTCAGTTGCACTTTCTTTTTTCTCTGTATGATTAGCAGCTAAGTTGAATTAGAGATTTCATGCTTCCGTGACCTCTATGGGTACCCATAAAAGGGGGGGGGGAAACCACCTGCAGGTACTTATTTTTCCAAACAGTAAGAGCCTCAACAATGATTGAACACTCTTGGTAACAGTAATATTCTGGTTGGAAATAAAGAGTAACACCATAGTAACATATTCACGCAAGCTCCTAAATCATGACTATAGAATTAAAATACACAGTAACATATTAGCGTGAACATAAAAGAGCTTCCAGTTCTATTTTACTTGTTCTTGAATTACATTGCCAAGAATCCATCTTAGACCGAGGTGGTAAATATATTCTATACTTAAAAATGAATTTTATATAAATAAATTTCAAGAGAACGAGCTTTTGAAAATTATTTGCATAGCTGCTTTAGCTTGATTATAAAAAAATTAAATTATCATACAAATTACAGAGTTAAATATGATTCTCTTATTTCATATAAGTAGCTTACTGACTTTCAGAGAAGTTAAAGTGGAAAACTGATCTGAGTATAGAGAACTTTGGATACCTTGTTCATTAGCTTGCCTTCATCACTTCCTAATTATTTTATTTATTTATATATCAAATTTATATCACCGCCCAACTCTCCCACAAGGAGGGACTCTGGGTGGTTCACAACAAAACAATTTAAAATCAGTAAAAACATAAATAATATGGGTGGTTCACAACAAAACAATTTAAAATCAGTAAAAACATAAATAATATGGGTGGTTCACAACAAAACAATTTAAAATCAGTAAAAACATAAATAATATGGGTGGTTCACAACAAAACAATTTAAAATCAGTAAAAACATAAATAATACAAATATAAAATACAATTATGCATCTGTTATTTATTTTGCACAAGCACCATTATGTTCTGGTAACATGTCTTGGTTAGATTTAAAAGTATGATGCAATGGAGGTCTAGAAAAGCTACTCTGTGTAAAACATTTCCTGTTCTAAGTAGATGATCTGATCATAAAATCCTTCTGTTTTCACTGAGCCCTGACATAAGATTGGTTTTGTCATTGCTTGGTGCTGGCTGTCAACTCTCAAGCTGTTCAAAACTTCTTAGGATGTCATTACAACAAAGGTTTTCAATTTTTTTTCAGGCCATGGAACCAGCTAGTTAAAAAAAAAAAATCCTGGAGAAAGCTCTAGTGAAAAAAAATTGGTGGCACAGGAATGAACTTGAATTGTTTGTCCTTAGTCTCTTGGAAGCCAGTTAAAATCTTGCAGAACCCTAGGATTCTGAACAGAGTTTGAAAAACCCTGCATTATAAATCTAAATACATCAGATTTGTTCTTATGAACTTATTTCTAAAGATCAATTTCAATGACTGCCTGGAGAGCTATCTTTTGATAGCTCTTTCGATTTTGCTCCTTGCAAAATAATAAGCATTGATCATTTTACCACAGAGTAGATTTACAAAAAGTGACAAACCAGGCTTTTAGAAGTCCTTAGATAAGCCCACACAGCTTGATTCCAAGTAATGTCAATGTAGCTTTCTTGGCAACACTATGGAAACAGGCTGCCATTACATTCTTCTGGGAAATTTCTTCACTACTTAATCTGGTATTTCCTAGCAGTCTCCCATCCAAGTACTAATGAGGTCCTAAACTCAGACAAAGCCAGTCAGGTGCTATCACCTGCTGAGATAGCAGGATGGAAAAGTACATCTTAAACATTTTCTATAGGGACAAATGGTATTTTATTGTTGGCTCTAAGATGAATCTGAAACAGCTGGAGTTTTTATATATACCAAGCAGAGCAACAGTCCTAGTGTATGGACCCACAGCTGTGAAAAACAAAATTTAAGAGGGGGAAAAAAACAGCTAAAGGAGCCTTTTGCCCTACAGACAGGTAATACTTTGCAGGTCTATCATTATCTATAGTGAATGTGATTGCACTGCAGGTGCACAGAAGCTTGCATATGATCTGTTCTAAATAACTATCATACTTATTACATTAATTTCTAGTTATAGTTAAACCACAGTTGTTCTTTTAACAAGAATCAAAATCCCTAAATAGGCAATACCATTTAACTCTCATTATTACAGATACATTGTTATTATCTCATACCATATATAGTAAATTTACTGTACAAAATGAGTAAATAAGTCAAACCCAAATATTTCTTGTTAATGTTTTATTAGTGTACTTTTTTCCAAGCTCCTTCATTGGACAAACATAATGGAAACTCCAAATAAAAATTTAGAGTTTTCAGCTGTTCAGAACAAGAGAGACCACGGCATTCCATTTTCCCCATTCTTTGTTAAAGAAAAGCATATTGATAGAACCATTAGGCACGCAGTTGACACATACTGTACAATTATATGCACATGTCACTTATATAACATCTACATGTTGATGTGCTCTTTAGATTTTGCTCCTTGCGAAGTAAGAACCATGCTCATTTGAGCACAGAGAAGATTTACAAGGAGTGACAAACCAGACTTTTAAAACAAGTCCTTAGATAAGCCAACACAGCAGCAATAACAGAATATTATACATTGTTAGTTAAGATAGTTTACCTTTGATCTCAAAACCTTAAAAATGTCTTCTTTTTTTACAATTATTCAAATACACATGCGTTACATGAAAATATTGCACTAAAATTAGAATTGAGAGTGGAGTTCATATTTTATTTTTAAAAATTATTACACTTTCTGGTAGCATTAAAATTGTTTAGTTGTAGCAACACCAGAGGCAGAAGCTTGAGGATGAACTGTATGAAATTTTCAACCTTACCATCCATTCTCTTTAAATTAAGGCTAAATAAGTGCATTTGTTGGACAATGGCACATTTTTTTTTCAGAGGCTAGTCATAGCATTCTCAGGCTGGGATGTGTGTGGCTAATTATCTGCAGCAATAACACAATAAATTCTGTGGATGCTTTAAAGGGTATAATATGACAGGGCCACAATTCATATAATGTCAATGAATCACATGTGAGCTATACAAAATAACTTATTAGGACAATGTATACAACTGATGGTTCCTCCCTGTGGGCACATTTTGAAATTAAATATGGATGACAAAATGCTATGGTACAATAACTATTAACAGAAAGGACATGTTATAATGCAAAGGTTTTATGGCTGAGAAATAAATTTCAAAAGTCAACATTTGAGAATAATCCTAAAACTTAGAGATGATATTCATGGTTAAGAGATACATTCTATTTTACTGATTGCTGATTAGTCCATTTGTTCTTTAGAACTGGGATAATCTACAAGGATCAATTCAAATTCAAGTAAGAAATCCAGGGCACGTTCTAACTTGTTTCCTATTGGGCTTCCTTTGTCTGATAATCTATGTAGATTTTGGTAGTCTACTACTTTAGAAATCAACTGCCTGGAACACACAAACATTCAGAGGTGATACTGGCCTTTTAAGAGGATATGAGTTTAAACTGCAGTGGCAACTCAAATATTCCTCCATTCAAAATGCACAGAGCACCAATATGCTAAGACAAAGTTTAACCATAGCATTTTACTGATATCCTATCTTTCTATGTAAAATAATTTTGATTTTTTTAAAAAATAGAAACATTTATATATGTAAGTCTCATTACAATTTTGTATAGCCAAACTATTTTTATCTTTTCATTGAGAAATGGGAAAAAGGCAAAACCAAGAAATGTTTAAAAGAATGTGTATATGAGAAAGTTTAAGGTCAACTGTCACCCTTATTTAAAAACATGGGACATGATATACAGGGAACTGATTATTTCATGTATTTTACCTTAAACTGTCCTGCTACCACTAACAGGTATTACACATACAGCATGTAGATCTGTAATAATAATAATATTTTTTAAAAAACACGATTGCAATTGAGCACATGCTTCTTATAATGAAGACATAAAAATCTCATTTTCTCCTGAATGTAACTTACTAAATGGCAACTTCAGTTACAAGATCTTTAAGTACTCAATTACACCCAAATCTCAAACATTTCTTTAGAAGAAATCATGTCAATCAAAATGAAACATTTTTAATGAAAATGTTTAGTATCAGAGAATTAAACGAATATTGTATTTTGGCTATTTTGGAGGATTTAAACACCTTTTAAAATAGACAACGTAACAGTATTTTGAAGCTGAAACAAATAAATTGTACTTCCTTGGTAGTCTCGGGTTCTTGAAGAAAAATCAGAAAAAAAGATGTTAAGTCCAAGTCCAATCAATTATTCCTTCATTCTTAATTAGACATAATGTTGGAAGTAAAGATGACAGATGGGGCATTCCATGTAGAAGAGATTTATTTATTAAAATTTTATATTATGCAAAAAAAATAAAAAATTTATTAAAAACTATTATAGTCATGCTTATTTTTTTCATATATACACTATGGTGCATTCAGGAACTTGCCATTGTTTGCAGATGACTATTCAGGGAAGTCCAAGAGACTTTCATATCAGTAAAAGACAACTCATTTTAGTAATTTACTAGCTGAGGTCAATATATCATGCTAATTTTTGTAAAGGTCATATACTACAATTCTTTTTAAAGAAGATCCTAATGTTAAGAGTGTAGTATTTTTGTTTGCTTCTCCCCCCAGTCTCCCAGACTGTTAATAAGTAAATAATTGTGGTAACCTTTGTTCTAATTTTAAGCCCTTCCCTTTCTTAAATGTTATTTTGAGCCTTCTCCTTTAAAAATTATACATAGCCTACAAGGATTATAGTTTAAGAACATATCAAGACCCTTAAACCTATGTCTGTTTTTTGTTCTTCTACCCTACCCCACTGAATAGTAAACCTGACCAAAGTTTTTTTTGTTTTTGTTTTAATAAGTTCATAATGTTTTTGCACATGTCACACCTAGTTTGGAAATATAATTTGGGGGCATAACATTTTTCACAACCGTTTGTTCCAAAAGACATCATACTAGCCCAACTTCTTCAGAGCTAGGGACTCTGGAGATAGTCATAATACAAATCAAATCACACCTGATTTTCACATTGCACAATCTCCCAGTTCCAAGCAAAGCAGTCAAGTCCTCCATTGCTACCCCAATAATTGTGCTTTACTTTACTCAGTGGACCCAATATAGCATTTTTCATTGTTGGCAATCAAATTGTATAAGGAGTAGAAGAGACAGATATTCTCGCAGAGCAGACTAGTATTCTTCTCAATGTTGCACAAAGATACACCAAATCATTTAAAACACATGAATTCAGTTCAAGATAGTGGTTGCATTAGAGATGAAAAATGAGTAGAACCACATTTCTTATGGATGTATTAATAATCTAATATATGACTCTAAAAGATTGGTGTGAGAATAACAGCATGAGTTTTAAGCCCCAGAGAATATGCCCAAGTCTTGGGCTAATGGACACCAATTTTATAGTATGGAGTGTCACCTTTTCTGTAAAGAAGGTGTTTGTGTAGATTGTAGTTTATGTTTATATCGCTGCATCTGCTTTGAGCGTGAATGCAATTTTTTGAAGAGATCATGGAATCCGTACTCTGAAAATAAGGTTTCCAAGAAGCCCTCCAGGAAAACATACACCATCCTCTTATTTAGCTGAGTATGCTGGAACATTTCAAAGACTCGGAGAATGCCCTTTCTTGTTGTCTCAGCACCAAGGATATGCTTCAACTCATCTAAACAAACCACAAAACATGGAATTTCAGTAATAGCTTTATCTTCATTTTCATATCTACATTAATTGAATACACTTCTGATTATAAATTGTTAAAACAGGTTGTTTAAAAAAAACAGATTCCCTAATAAATTAAATATTAAATTCAAGGAAGATTACTTTCTTAGATAAGTACTATTTCTCAACTTGTATCATTGCATCATTCATATGGAGGCAAAACAAGACTGTATTTCTTTAAAATTTAGTTACCACATTTGAGGGTATTTCCTATTTCAGCTCAAGAAGCAATTAGTTTAATACATTCCACGCACCAGGCATTACTCCCAGCAGTTTTGTTTTTGCAGCAATTCTTGTTCGCATTCTGATTGCATTATCTCTGTGGGGAACAGTTTCAGCTAAAATGCCATTTGGCCAAAAGGCATCTCTGGAAGGAGACAAATTTACTTATTAAAATGACTATCATCTTAGAATTATCTGAAAATAGTGCTGTTACCAAATACATCATACTTGCCTGTGATAAGTCTGTATGAAATAAAAACCACAGCATTCAAGTGATTTTTCTTTATAAATGTATGTGCACTATCAGACCCTGTTTTGAATGATTTACTGAATTTCTTTGGCATCAGTTACATTATACATGTGACTGTGCTCCATACACTACGCAAGAAATTATTGTCCACAGCACAATGAAATTGGGGAACAGTACTAAACTGAAGAACCAGTAAAATCTAGCTGGGTGATACATGAAAACACATATAAACCTTCTACTTGTTTAGTGACCATGTTCTGTTCCAATGACTTGGCCGTTAAGTGAACACACGACTGACAGAGAGAGAAAGAGAGAGAGAAACACTGCAAAAATCACTGGTTGCTGCTTAATCTCATTCAGATAAAGTTCTCTGGTACAGTATCCTGTGCCTGACCCAATTTTTTTTTGCCCTTAGCATGATGGAGAAATTACTTAAACAAGCTATCTCTCCCTGAGCTGCTCCCCTCCCCCCCCCCCCAGTGCTTCCCTAAAAAGTGCTAACCACAAGTTAACAAGCTCAGCATTGTGACCTTAATTAGTTGATTAGAACCCACTGGCCTGGTGCTGCTGCCTGAAACTGACCAGACCTTGATCAGTTTCACACTAAGGCTTTTGTTGTCAGGCACATGAAATTTGTTCCTAAATGTACACGGTTGGAAAATGAATTTTTTATTACCATTTATTACCATAATATTTGTGAATGGTTGCTAACCAAGGTAGTCATCAAACGAGGAGTGGTTGTACAACTATTTCAGTTAATCAGAAGCAAGAGCTTTGAATTTTTACTGGAAAGGGTCTTTGCACCTTCTTTTTGAATCTATTTATGAATCAGATGCTTTCTGCAAAGGAAATCTTTCTGTAAATGGCTAATAATATCTTATGCCTTTGTAAGTAGTTCTAATGAAAAATATGTTGTCAACTAGTATAATTAATTTTAAGGGGACCATGTACCGTTTTAAAGACAAACATGTATAAAACAGACCTACCTAAACCGTTTAACTGCATCTGCTACTTGTTCAGGAGATGTCATCCAATCAACATGATCAACTATTTTTCTGAAAGGAATAAAATTTCTGGATTAATTTTTGAAATAAGCATTTGCTTTCATATATCTACACCCAGACTAAATTACTTGAATTTAGGACTCACTAAAGTCACAAGAACACCTGTAAGTTCAACTAAAAATGAATCCAACCCACTTCACAATAATTAAAAAAGATTTTCTGACAAAGAATCAATGATACAACAACAGTGAAAGGAAGAGAAAAAAGGGTATTTACCTTTGTCAATTACATACCCTCTCCAGATAAACAAATTTATTGCTGATACAATTGCTAGGGTATTTTACACCTTTTTGGAAATATGCTGATAGTAAGCATATATTTGCAGCAAGTGTATCCAGAACAGAGAAAGCTCCTACAAAATCTGTGTGGCTTATTAATAATTTCACACGATCCCTGAGAATCAGAAATGGCTAATCTTGATGCCTATGATGAAACTTAACATATTGATGATTTGATCCAGGTCTCCCCAAGCAAATGCAACCAGAAAGATATGAAGATGGGGCACAAACTGCTGTTTTAGTTTTCTAAATAGATAAAAAAGGCTGGAGAAATAATAACTTCAGTTTCTATTTCTAATTAGAAAGCAGGGCATCTATTTACCTACCTACCTACTCAGGGACATGGAGTAGTAGAAGATGTCTATAGAGCACTCAGTCACTCATGATCTAGTCATATATTTAGAATACTGTAATGTACTCTACGTGGGGTTGCCCTTGAAGAGCCTTTGTGAGGTACAGCTGGTACCCAGGTTGTGCTTGGTGAATCCTAATACACTTGGGTGTCCTCAGTGCTTTGGGAATTGCACTGGTTGCTGGTTGGTTTTTGGGTACAACTGAAGGTCCTCTAAAGCCCTATATGGCTCTAGACAGCATTAGCTGATGGACCATCTTCTGTATTCATCTGCATGTCCAACCAAATCAAATACTGTCAACTCTCTCCAGGTCCATCTTTACAAATCTGTCACCTGATAGGCCCTCAGAAGTTGGAGTTTTTAGGAGCTTCTCCACATGTTGGAACTCCCTCCCTGCAGAGATCTGGCCAGCTTCATCCCTCCTTGGCTTTACAAAAGCTGTGAAGAATGAATTGCTCCTTGTATGGGAGGATGATGTGCCATGACTGAAGGTGGGATCTGTGGATGTGTGACTTTTGTATTTCCTGGTTTTGTATTTTCTTGACATCATTTTTTATACATATTTGGTGTCCTTTCTGAGATGTCATTTTATTTTATGTTGATATTGTTAGAAGTCCAAAGCCATTAGGAATGAGTGGCATACAAATAAGTAAGTAAATAAAAAACCAGCAGCCTCCACTGGGGGGGGGGCATGATATAAGTAAAGCATGGTGAAGCTCCACCCCTTTTGCATTATACATACAAAATGGTTAGCTTGATTGCACTACCATATTGACTTTTTCAGCACCCCTCTGCAGACACTGCCGATTTGAGTTATGGAGCCTGATGAGACAACTACGAAGGAGCTGGATGCTCAATCAGACAGGCAAATCCCTCCCTCCCTCCTCACATTCTATGCAGGTCCACCAGTATGAAAAAAACAGTTATATATTCATATCATATTCATTCCCTAATTCACTATAAAGCTATTTTCAAATAATTAATGTTTAAAAGTGGGGGCATAGTTTTTACATATCTTTTCCACATCATACACAGGTGTTTAAGAATGACGAAATGAAAGACAGTACTTATTTATTGTATATCCATGCATTGCTCTAATAAGTTGCTGAAGCAAGTTTTTGATATTCCGCCGTAGCCACTGATTTCTTTCCTTCAGATCAAATATTTCATCCATGAGTAGCAGCATTATTTTAAGAGGTACATTGTCTTCTACCTAGTAAATTAGGGTAGAGTAGTTATTGTTTAAAGGCAAAAAGATAATCTTACTTAGCTTACTTAACACTGAAACTATAAATTGCTTATTTTGTTAAAAAGTACCTTAATACGAGAATACTGGTGTTCAAGGAAATATATTGGATTGGATCCACCAATATTTATTCTTGCAAATAGAAATAATCCCTACTTGATCTAGTAAATAATGACACAAAGAGGAGACAATTTTCACCTCTTTTCCTCCTATAGAGTCCTATAACACTGTAGTGCTACTGTGGCAAAATACTGTAATGGCAAGGAAAGATAAATGGTAGCTCCTATTTTTCTTTTTGCTCTCTTGTGTGAAATGGCTTTCCTTCTGTTTTCTTGTGCAGAGTACCACTTGGCAAGGCCTTAAGACCTGCTCAATTAGAAGTATAAGCAATTGCAATATGGAGGCTTGGGAAGCCCTTCCCCAGAATGAGCTTCAGCACAGACCCACCTAGGAAAGGTGCTGTCCACCAGCTGATATAATCTAGGAAACCTTCCTGTTTTCTCTGAAAAGGATGGAGTAAGATTTTAATCTGTTTTCACACTCCTCTACTGAATGTAGGAATGTCTTGTTTTATTGCTATGCCCGTAAATGCTTCTTGCCTACATTATACTTTGCAGGAAAAATTGTTATTCTTTTGCTTTGCTTTTTTAACAAACCATTTGGCTTATTGAATCCACAAACTTTCTGCCCACACACTGCTGGGGAAAAACATACACCTCACACTATTTGAGGGGATTCCCTAGTCCTGTAAAGCAGACTTTTTAAAATAGAGTGGGAGTATACAGATTTAAAACATTTATAGGCAAACTTTATTGCAGTTGTTGACCAGTGTGATTCAAAATGTTTATAAGCATTCATGATGCACCAAAATATAACTACTAATATTTAACAGCTAAAAATTTCAAAAGGACCTCCATCTTATATTTTTTTATGAGACAAATATAAAAACTTTGTAAGAATTCATTTCAGATTACTACTCTTAAAAGCTATTATAAGAACACTTTTACATTTAGTAATAGTTCATCTATTTTTCTACTATATTTCTAGCAGTTTGTTCTCTGAAAAACTAATGGAAGACAATGCAACTAAAAATATATCTTGAAAATAAATGAGAGAGCTAAAGAACTTCTCTGAATATCCCATGGCCTTGTATTTATTCACTGGAATGTATTACTTTCCTCCTCACCTTTAAAGAACATATCGTTATAGCATATTACAAACAGAATATGCAGTACCAAAATGCTTTGGAAATGTTAATTTCAGACAACCTTTGTTGGCATACTGACGCCCCATTGCATATCATTTTTTACAAGTCTAAAAAGTATTTTCTGAACCATTAAAACACACAATGGATTGAAAATGCTGTAATACAAACCCAATATAATAAGCGCCAATCAGTGTGGATAATATGGTGTACCATTATCTGTATTTATAATTCATAATGAGCCCAGAACACAGAAAATTACAGAGTTTAAAAATAATTTAAAAAAAAACCAAAAATGTAGATAGATAATGTCTATATTAAAAACAACAACATACAAAATATGAAACATGTCAATCTCCTGGGAAGAAATAAGGACATTTGGCAATGTCATAGTCACAGTAAGTAGACAGAAATACCAGCTGGAATGCTTTGATGTGGCAAGTAAAAAATGTGAAGTATAGAACAGGTGCAGATATCTGACCATGACAAATGTGGCCATAATCACTGATATCTTACGGACTTGTATTCTCATTAAAGATAAAATATTTTTTGATTGATTTCATATATTTGGAATTTGGGAAAGAAAAACTAGGGGATCATAGACCTAGAATATTCTATTAGCTAAAGTATAGTAGAAGTGACACAGAAATTATCAACTGCTGATATGCTTCCTTTGGATAGACATGCAAGTCAAAATCAAAAGAAATGCTCAATCAGTTCTGCATGCCTATCACAGAGGTCTAAACTGACCCTTCTCTAAATCTTGCATGTTTTTTGTGGATTTTACACCTGACTCAAGGATCTGTTTTGCTTTAGAAAACACAGCCAAGCCACAGATTTGTATTATGGAACAAAAATAATATTCCAAAGGAATAGAAAGAACTGTAGGCTAAAGTTTAAGCATTTTCCCCACTGATTAAAGGGAGTTGCCACAAATTTCTACCTGAATGTCAAATAATTAGCTGACAAATTCAGATAATCTACATGATATGTATACATTAATTAATCCATACCCTTGAAGGAAATGGAGGACCAAACAGGACGCATCCTTAACTTCAAAATAAAGCAGCCAATTGGTGTACTACCTGAGTAAACTCCCTGAAGTATCATTTGTTCTGACTTTATAAATATACAGTAATTAATTGAAGTTTAATGTTCGTTTTTTGCTAAATTTCTGGAAAAACAAAACACATTCTGCTGGTATTTGTTTTTATGTCAGTCACGTGGGACAATAATGCTCAAAGGTTTTAGGGCTTGTCTTTCTCAAGAGGTTGCTATGATGAACAGCTTTTCCAACTGAGAGAAAGTTTCTAATATAAGGCATAGGGGTTTGAGGTTGAAAAAAATCCCATTGTGCATGCACAATGAGCATTGATAAAACAGATAATTAGATTCTAATGATAGGCTTGATACATTTCAGTAAATAAAAGACAATACAATTAGCTACTTTATAATTAAGACTGATTTCTGTTGAAATTAACCAAACAATTAACTCACATTGTCATCTACGTGTGCTGAAACTCGGCAGTGTTTTGGATCAACATATGTCTTCTGCATTAATGGAGGCTCCTAAATATTCCAGACAGGGAGCAGAAGTTATAAAAGACAGAAGCATTTACAAATACAGAGTAACAAATCTTAATTGAAAATTGTATTTTATAGTGGACTTACATGTATGTTATAAACTCTAACATCAGTGACATATTTAAATCAAGGTTAAAAGTAATCACAATTTGAAATATGTTATGACTCTCTACAGTCAGATGACAAAAAGGATAACTAGTCCACATTGTGATTCTGATTAATGTGTAGCAGCATGTAGAACATCCAAAAAGAATTGTATTTATCAAATACAATCTCATATAGCATACATGGCATTGTACAATGTTTTTATTATTGAGATCAAGAGATAATAAAATATTAAGATCAATGACATATTCTGTTTTCATTTTAGTGCAGTTTATGCCATAATTTTTTTGGCTATACAAGTACAGTCTGTACAGCTAATGAGACCCTGTATAGTGAGTTTAGAATCTTATCTTTACCCAATATAACAATGGAAAAAGGAAAAAAGGAAAACCATATTTGATTTGAGATTAGCATGCATCTCACTTGGTTTTAATTTAGTCATTTAAATTTATTTATTCAATTATTTAAGTAATTTTTTTAAAAAGAAAGATGCATTCATCTGTTGTAGAGCAGTGGTAGATTAGCAATGACAAGGCTAAATGGAATAAGTGTATTTTATTCAGGGGCAGGTAATGATTGATGAAAGCAAGGCTATTGGGAAAAATGAAAGGAAAAAAAAATGGCTTCAGACATTTGTCCCATCCAGCAACTTTAGTGTATATTTGGAGACTGTTGAAAGTCAGTGTCAGGCCTAGCCCAAGGAACTCCAAGAGACAATGCTAATTCAGTTCAGCTATGTTTA